ACTGAATTAAAATTTGAAAATATGCTTAACAAGTGGTTTATGAAAGAAACACAGTGATTTGAGATAAGGTTTAAGCCTTATTCACAGGTAACAGTTAAAATTAGTACTAATCAGATTTTAGATCCCCCATATCTCAGTGAAGTCCTTAACCCTTTGCGGGCCAGTTTTATTTTTGGAATTCAAACAGTCTGGTCCAAATTAATTGATGGGATTGAATGTTGAAGTTATCTGTCTCACTAGACCTCAGCTCGACGTTGGACCTGCTCCTAGCGCCTGGTCTGTCCAGTCAGGCTCCACGTTGGACCGAAAAGGGTTAAAATCTTTATCCAGCAACTTTTTAGGGATTTGGGAACTTCGATTTTCATATTAGACACCAGATAATGCTATAGAGAGCCAGGTATAGCAAAACATTAATTTGGGTCTCACTCCTTGAGATTCTTGGTGACTTAAAAAATGTAAATAGGAGAAACCAAGATGGCGGCATAGGTAAACACCTGAAATTGCTGCCTCACACACCACTTCAAAAATACAACTAAAAGACAAAACAGACATCATCCAGAATCACAGGAAGGCTGGCTGAGTGGAAATTCTACAACTAGAAGGAAAGAGAAAAGCAAACTGAAACTCAGAGGAGGTGCAGAAGTAAAATGCAGAGGTACGGAGGCGCACGCGGAAAGGGCTGGCAACTGAGGACGCGGTTGTCTTTTTCAATCGGGAGGGAGTCTCAAGCTCCCGACTGCTCTGAACTCCAGTTCCAGGCGAGTCTCTGGGGACCCAGTCTCATACGGGGAGAAACTGGACTGTCTGGCATCGGTCCGAACTTGAGGGCGGCTTTCTCTCAGAGGTGCTTGCAGCGATTACCGCGGGACACTGAGACCCAGGGCCTCTTAGGGCAGGGCTGAGGATCAGCCATAGTTTTTGTTCCGCCCTGTTGATTCCCTGAGACCCCACTCCACCCAAGCTGTGCCCAGAGGCTTTTGCATATGAATGGCCTGGCCCTTTGCAATCTAAAATTACCTAACAAACTGCAGCTGGGTCAGAGAGACCCAGAACTTCCAAAAGAAGGCCCAAGGCCCCACAGCACCTTGCATTGCTTCACAGCTGGGCCTCATCTGGGCACCTCCAAACCCCAAACAAAGAAGAGGAATCTGCAGATCTCTCCATAGTTCCTGCTGGGTAGCCCCAGGCAGAGGCTAAATTAGCACCTCCTTAGATATCCAAGTGCCAGTGTACCCAGTGGTCAGAGTGGGACCATCCAGATTACAACTCCTCAGATCCATAAGGGACACACTCAG